ATCCCATTTGTTTATTTTTCCTTTGGTTGCCTGTGCTTTGGGGGTAGTATTCATGAAGTCTACATCCAATCTTACTTCCTGGAATATTCCCTTATGTTTTCTTTAAGGAGTTTTATTGTTTCAGGGTGTATATTTAATTCTTTAATCCATTTTGAGTTGATTTTGGTATATGATGAAAGATACGCATCTAGTTTCATTCTCCTACATATGATTATCCAGTTTTCCCAGCACCATTTGTTGAAAAAGCAGTCTCTTCCCCAGTATGGAGACTTGCTGCCTTTGTCAAAGATCAGATGGCTGTAGGCATATGGGTTAATTTCTGAGTTCTCGCTTCTGTTCCATTGATCTTTGTCTCTGTTTTTATGCTAGTGCCATGCTGTTTTGGTTATTATAGCTTTGTAATATAGTTTAAAGTCAGGTAGTGTTATGCCATCAGCTTTATTTTCTTGCTCAGGATTGCTTGGGCTATGCGTGGTCTTATATTGTTCCATATAAATGTCTGGATAGCTTTTTCCATCTCAGAGAACAATGTCATTGGAATTTTGATGGGAATTGCATTGAATCTGTAGATCTCTTTTGGTAGTATGGACATTTTCACAATTTTAATTCTTCCAATCCAAGAGCATGGGGTATCTTTCCATGTTCATGTGTCCTCTTTAATTTCTCTCAGCAGTGGTTTGTACTTCTCATTGTAGAGACTTTTCACATCCTTGGTTAAATTTATTCTTAAGTATTTTATTTTTTTGGTGGCTGGTGTAAATGGGCTAGCTGTCTTGATTTTTTTCTGCATGTTCACTGTTGGAGTATAGAAATGCTACTAATTTTCTTGTGCTGATTTTGTATCCTGCAACTTTGCTGAAATCATTTATCAACTCTAAGAGGTTTTGTAGAGGCTTTAGGCTATTCGATATATAGGATCATGTCATCTGCAAACAGGGATAGTTTGACTTCATCTTTTCCAATCNCCCCCCCCACCGTTTGTTTGTATATTTATTTATTTATTTATTATAGCTCTCACAAATAAGTGAGAACATGTAGTATTTCTCTTTCTGTGCCTGACTTATTTCACTTAATGTAACTTTTTCTTTTTCTAAATCCATCCATGTTTCTGTGAATGGTAGTATTTCAGTCTTTTTTATAGCACAGTAGTATTCCATCATGTAGATATACCACAGTTTCCTTATCCACTCATTTGATGATGGACATTTGGGCTGTTTCCAACTATTGGCTATTGTAAATAGTGCTGCAATAAACACAGGAGTACAGGTATCCATTCGACATGATGATTTCCATTCCTCTGGGTATATACCCCACAGTGGAATAGCTAGATTATACAGTAGATGAATCTATAATTGTTTGAGGAA